AGCAATTTTTTCTAATAAACTAAAAATAGTTGAATTAACAATGGGCCCCCTCAAATTCACAGCCGGGCACCGGACCATTTGTACCAATGAACCCCTTTCTCTGGCCCTGAATAAAATGTTATTACTACTGAATCAAACATGCGAGGTCAACATGAAATTTTAAGAAGTGTCGTTATCTGTTGTTCGTTCGGTGCCTGTGTCACGTAGTGATTATTTGTCATGTATTTAATTTTCCTTTTTTTTTTAAATCGACCCTAATTTTTTCCAAAATTCAAATAATGAGTTTTCCCGGTTATCCTCATCAGTTGGGCCCACATAATGAAATGCACATTGCAAAGCGAATCACACATAGCAATGTATTTTTTCCAGAATGAAACCCCACTACTATTGCGACCCACAATCAATGTCTCAACACACAAGCGATCTAAATCATTTCTTTGCAGAATGCTACCTACAACAGTTTTCTACACCAAGTGCAACTAAACATTTTTTTTTCTCGAAAACGACCAAAATAAACGGTAAACACTCGGAATTTTTTTTGTTTTACTGTATGAATGATTGAAGGGAACATGAATGACAAGGGATAACTGAGTTCAGTTTCCGTTGAGCGCCTGTCGACAGTGTCGTGTAGGCTTTATACAGTTGGTGATGCAGAATGTATGTTCTATCTTCATCTGTCTAGCGTCACTCTCTCAAGCGCTATGTCACTTCCTCTTCTTTCGATCGCCACGTCCTGCTCGAGGCAGTCTTGATCTACCTCCTCTCTTTTGGCCGCCACGCCACGCTCAAGCAGCCCTTGATCTACCTTCCTCTTCTGTTGGCCGCCACGTCCCACTCAAGCAGTCCTTGATCTACCTTCCTCTTCTGTTGGTCGCTACGTCTCGCTCGAGCAGTCCTTGATGCTGCATCTTCATATGTTAACCGTCACCTCTCACTCAAGAAGTTGATGCTCTATCTTCATATTCTATAAGCTCCAGTAACTTGAAATATCCTTAGAGTTTAATTTGTAACCTAAAATTACAAAATTAGAGCAACACTGAAGGAAGCTGCTACTAACTACGACTTATTCTCTAACGCACTTTTAAACTTTTACCAACAACTGCCATGACAGGTCATCCTGTCAATAACATTAAAACTAGGACGTACATGCCTGCAGACGTGACGTCGCATGCCACATGATGTTCAGGCGCAGTGTGATATTCTGCCCCTTCCACAGGCGCTACCTGTTGTCGTGATTTCGCATTTACCTGAAGTTTACCTGGAGAGAGTTCCGGGGGTCAACGCCCCCGCGCCATTCTACAGAATAATTAGGATACGATGTACCTTTGAAGAGTTTCGTGTGTTTCACTATTCTCTGAGCCCGGTCATGGACCAGGCTCGTCTGGTGCTTGCCTGGTCAACCAGGCTGTTGCTGCTGGAGGCCCGCTGCCCCATATATCCATCACAGCCTGGTTGATCTGGCACCTGGTGAAGATACTTGTCCTCACCTACATGACACCCGTCCCAGTATGATGCAGGAAGTAATGCCAAAGATCTGTCACCCACGGCTTAAATTCTTCCCAATTTTTTAATTATAAATTATTCTAATTTGTATAACCCTAAATTATTGTTCACATTAAAATCAATACTATTTTATATGAAATTTGATTCAATTAGATTTCTCTCAACCTGCTTGATACAACTTTCTTAACGTTTTGAAAATCAAGTTCAAATCTATTACATGAATAAACAGAACATTAGACTCTTGTCTAGTTGTAATGCAATATTTATGTTGCAATCTTAGTTAAAGACTAACCAGTTTGACCGTAATAAAGTTTATTACATTTTGAACACGGGATCTTGAAGACAGTCATCAGCATTCTTTGGGGAACTTTTAATCACTTTTGCTTTTTACTGTATCATGATTTTTAAATACACCGTTGATATTAAAACTGTTAAGTAGAGAAGGTATATCAAGCAGGTTTTCATGGTAAGGGAAAGCCAACATATTCTTGGTCGAATGTTTGTCCTTTTTTGAATTGTAAAATGTATTTCTAGCAATTTTAAAAGATTTATCAATTTAGTATTTTGGGTATTTTTTAGATTATTTCTGATTTCAGAATTTCTTCATCTATGAACTCTGGGCTGCAAATACGCAGTTCTCAAAAACACTAACGAGAATACAAAAAGTTTAACTATCATGATGTGTAGAATAATAATGCAAATAAGAACAGTTACCTCCTCCCTCCCACCCTTTTCCCACATTCCATCACTATAATAATTAATAATAATTTTTATAAGTACATGTACAAGGCATACAGTCCTAGCTGACATCAATAACATACTACTATATAGAAAGCCCCTTGTTATGCAGAGCACTTCGGGCAAATTGTCAGTTTTGTCCCAGGATGCGACCCACACCAGTCCACTAACACCCAGGTACCCATTATTACTGATGAGTGAACATAGACAACCGATGTAAGGATACACGTACAATGTTTGTACCCTGGCTCAACCTGCCAAACTTCTGGTTGAAGAACCTCGAGCCTAAGAAGAGTTATTTGTTAGTTTTCTGTATATTTTAAATTTAAAATCATTTTCCCTTAATACATCTAAAAAATGGCAGAGTTATTTTACTCAAACTCAACAGTAAAATTTATGCAATGAGCTAGACTAATTTAACAAGGAAATGGTTTATATCTCTATTCTTAAGCATTAGGCATAAAAAATCAATATATCTGTACTACTGAGCTCTGCTTGTTTACCTGGAGTTTACCTGGAGAGAGTTTCGGGGGTCAACGCCCCCGCGGCCCGGTCTGTGACCAGGCCGCCTGGTGGATCAGCGCCTGATCAACCAGGCTGTTGCTGCTGGCTGCACGCAAACCAACGTACGAGCCACAGCCCGGCTGATCAGGAACTGGGAAGAATTTTGTTCAGTCTTGTTTCAAAATATTCCATGTACAAATTTATCAGGACAGGTGAAATTCCCTCTCACCAGCACGTTGTTTTAATGTGTTAGTCTATGTTTAGTCCTATGATAGGTTTCCCTAATTTGTGTATTGCTTGTGAAGGCTGATATTTTGAACAGGAGCGAAATTAGTTCTTAGCTTACCACAGTCATGTATGTCACTGCATCATGAAACATGCCCAGTGCTACTAGGTACATGATGTTTGTAGGATTGGTGGCCCAGTGGTTAGAGCATTGTCGATTTTCACTTGTTTCCCACGAGGCAGGCTAAAATAACACGGGTTCGATTCCCAGCTAGTCAGTTTATATATACTATTCTAAGAAGCAATATCTTGCATCTTAGAACCCTCTCAATGATACCCATCAATTACACAACCCAGGGAAACGCAGGTTTAGAGCAGGTCTGGATGCAGTAGGTCTGGATGCTGTAGGTCCTTGACGCTGTTAGTTAGTTTAATATGTTTATTATGCACCCCATACCCATCCTGTGGGCGGTAGTCAAAAGATTACAGAGGTACATAATTGGTCCAGGGACTGGACTCCAAAGTTTTGATAGCTGAGCAAGTTACAGAGGTAATGAACTCACAATTTACAAAGGTAATGAACTCCAGGTAAGTCTGGTCACAATCATGACAAGTTACAAAGGTATTTACAGAGGATAAAATACAGATGTAGTATACACAGACTTTGCAAAAGCTTTCGACAAGTGTGACCATGGTGTAATAGCACACAAAATGCGTGATAAAGGAATAACGGGAAAAGTTGGTAGATTGATCTACAACTTCCTGACAAATAGAACACAGAGTAATAGTAAAGAGTCAAGTCCCAGGCAGCCACGGTAAAAAGCTCCGTTCCACAAGGCACAGTACTCTCTCCCATTCTATTCCTCATCCTCGTTTCTGACAGAGATGTATGCCATAGCTTCGTGTCTTCCTTTGCGGATGACACCCGGATTACCATGGCAGTGACCTCTATCGAAGACACCATGAGACTCCAAGCGGACATCAACCAAATCTTCGAATGGGTCACTCAAAACAATATGAAGTTCAACGAGGAGAAATTTCAACTACTCAGATATGGGAAAACTTGAAGAAAATTAAAAATGTGTCGGGGTATACAACAAATTCTAACCATACAATAGAGCGGAAAAGTAATGTGAAGGACCTGGGAGTGATAGAGGATCTCGCCCTGAAAGACCACAACAATGTACATATCTACCTCATCCGCTAGGAAAATTATAGGGTGGATAATGAGAACCTTCAAAACTAGGGACGCCAAGCCCACGATTCTCTTCAAGTCGCTTGTGCTCTCTAGGCTGGAATACTGCTGTACACTAACGGCCCCCTTCAAGGCTGGCGACATTACAGACCTGGAGAGTGTACAAATAACTTTCACGGCACACACAAGTACGATAAGGCACCTAAACTACTGGGAATGGTTTGAAGGTCCTTGATTTGTATTCCCTGGAACGCAGGCGAGACAGATGCATGATAATATACACTTGGAAGGTCCTGGAGGGATTGGTACCAAACGTGCACACGAAAATCACTCCCTATGAAAGCAAAAGATTCGTCAGGAGATGCAACATTCCCCCGATGAAAAGCAGGGGTGCCACGAGTACACTGAGACAACACAATAGGTGTCCGGGGTCCAAAACTGTTCAATTGTCTCCCAGCATACATATGGGGGATTACCAATAGACCCCTGCTGTCTTCAAGAAGGCACTGGACAGACACTTAGTACCTGACCAACCGGGCTGTGGTTCGTACGTCAGCTTGCGTGCGGCCAGTAGTAACAGCCTGGTTGATCAGACCCTGACCCACCATGAGACCTGGTCTCAGACCGGGTCGTGGGGGCGTTGACCCCTAAACCCTCTCCAGGTAAACTCCAGGTAAAACCCTGTCTCCCATCAATCTTTTTATTTTTTATTCTCCTCGGTATTTTCTAATTTAAAAACAGTGCGTTAGAGCCAGGCAGGCCTTGAACAGTCTCACCAAATGAGTATGCTGTCTCATGTCTTATGAGTGTTACTCAGGACCACCACCACCCACCACCACAACAACACAGGAGGCATCACATCCAGATGCTGCGTCGGTCCTCACACTACCGATACACTCGTGTGAGAACAGATAAACTTCTCGTAAAGTTTGAATGTTTTTACCGTGGCTCTGTCCCCTGGCAGCACTCTTGTGCCGTCAACAGTGCTTCATCCTGAGAGTAAAATAATAGCTTAAAACGCATTACAGTGATTGGGCGAACCTAGTAATGAAAATATCAACTGTTCGTGAAACACTGTAACAGCCATTAAGAAGTTGAGATAATCGCCATAGAGGACAGTTACCTTAGGATAGAGACCAAGCAAGACGTACGCCTATTCTAGTCGACTACACTCAAGTTAACTTACTGAAGCTGAAGAATGCATTCGAAATTCATCATTTGTGAGTGCTAAGGAGCATTAACAAAAGGACTTAACACAAGGAAGGCAAAAAGACTGCTCTACATGATGATCATCCATAGGACGAGGTGAAGTGTGATGCACATGACAGTGGTGTGGGAACATAGGTGGCAAACAAACACACACACACACAACAATGAGTTCATCGCAAGTTTCCGATGAGTCTGATGTGCTTGATGGACCCTCATCATGTTCCATGAGGGACATTGTTCCCGCACAGCGATCATGTGAAAGCCTCAACACAAACCTTTCAGTTCAACAAAGGGAAGACGTTTCTGTAGAAGAGAGAACATCGTTTAATGGTTTAATCCTCAGCGTGCCAACAACCCAAGACACCTCTAGTCCAGAGATTACAGTGGCTCCTGGGAGAGATTTCAACAACGACTCCGTCTCGAACATTGGCAGCAGGTACTGCAGAGTAGTAGTTAGTTATGGTGGTGTGCCACCTCAAGCCTTAGCCCTGCTTCCCAAAGGAAGAAAGATATCAAAACGCGTATGTTATCACAGATCGTACCTTAAACTGAACGGACCACCTTGCTATCTTTGTTCTAGCTCGGACCTGCCTCCCAAGTACACCAGGGAAGAGTCAAAATGGCAAAGAGGCAAGAAAAGATTTAGGAGTTTGATGCAGGATTTTGCAAATTTAGACTTTTCTCGCGGTCTTCAAACATCAACTGATTCTCGAGATAACGAAGGATATGCTCTTCCTTGCGCCCTCAGTAACGGGACATTAGCTAGGAATATCAACTTACCAGCTTATACTCCGTATATGATATCTGGGTCACCTGGTCTCCGCATGTCATCTATTGAAACGGAGGAGCAGCGAGCTTCTAGTCTCGACGATATCCCTGAGATACATGGCCACCCCAACTCCTCTTCTTACCAGGAAAATAACCAAATATCGGCCTCCCTGGGCAGCCACTCGGACCACATACACAACTCGGAGATCACCGTATCCCCCCATTCACCTACCACTGATGTAATTAATCCTTCGGAACAAGTACCTCCACCCTACTCACCACCTACTCCAGGATGTCTTCCCTCTGGGTACTTCCTGGAGCATCCACAGCAGCAGCCGCGCCAGCGAGTACAAAATATAAGCATAATTAGGTCATTTCGCTGTAAAAAAAGCTGGTGAGTTTGTGTAGTTTACCTGCAACCAGAGAGAATTAGTTTCCCTGTCCCGCAGTGTAGTGTAGTGTGCGTGCATTTATATGTATTTCTCCTTTGTGGTTGCAGGGGGTGAAGTCTCAACTCTTGTCCCCACTTCTTAACTTGCCGCTCTCCAGATTCATTCAGTCCTACCTTGGTGGCCCCTGCCATTCCTCTTACGACTGTTGTGTGGAGCCTACCTCCAACACTTCGTTGAGGTTATTCCACTTTCTAATCACCCTGAGACTACAAAAATATTTCCTGACATCCCTGTGGCACGTGTGTGTCTTTAACTTTCAGCTGTGCCCTGTTTCACGCCACTGACTACCCTGTCCATCTTCTGAATGGCTGGAGAACAGGTATGGAGATACAGTAAATAAGAATATCTTTATTTCTACAAGTACATGTACAAGGTATCCAGTCCTAGCTGACATCAATAACACACTACTATATAGAAAGCCGCTTGTTATGCAGAGCATTTCGGGCAAATTAGGTCAGTTTTGTCCTAGAATGCCACCCACACCAGTCCACTAACACCCAGGTACCCATTACTGATGGGAGAACATAGACAACCAGTGTAAGGAAACGCCCAATGTTTCCACCCCTTTGCCGGGAATCGAACCCGGACCTTCACAGTGTGAAGTGAGAGCTTTCCCACCAGGCCACGGGGCACCATCTATAAAGACACTCACAGTTCAAGACACAAGTGGCATCTAAACACTTTCAACGGTGCTGGTTATTTTCACTAATAATTAACTTGGCTTTCTCTCTCTCTCTCTCTCTCTCTCTCTCTCTCTCTCTCTCTCTCTCTCTCTCTCTCTCTCTCTCTCTCTCTTTCATGAGGTGGTCCTTCTTGCTGTTGGTGTTAGACAGGTATTGGTCTGGCTGTCGCGGCTGCACGCGCTTGTTTGTGTTTACTTACTCTCACTTCCGGAGACCTTGTTTCGCCCATTATCACCCATCCTTAGCACCGTAATTAGATGACACTAGTCAGTAACACTGTAACACCTCCAGTCAGTAACACTGTAAACAGGTAAACTCCAGGAGGTATGTAGGCCTCTTGCACTGCAAGAGGCCTACATACCTCCTTTGTTTCTCCAACCTATTTCTAAAGACTGCCGAATATGTTGGCTGTAATATATTTCCAAACGTTTAACCTATGCTCGCCTAACCTCTTGCACTGTAATACTTGTTCTAACATCTCTGTATTAGGACTGAAGAAGCCCCTCGTGAAACGTTCCCTTAGTAAATGTTTTGAGCTGTGCGTATCTTTACTATCACGTGAGTATTTTGTATGTTGCTGTCATGTCTCCCCTGGTTCTCTAAAGTCGTCAATTTTCAGTTCATTAAGTCTTTTATAGCTCATTTTCCTTAGCTCTTCGATACCTCCTTGAATACCTCTTCCCTTCCTACAGTTTAATGTTTCATCAGGTGTGGGTACCATGTTCCTGTATACTTCAGGATTTTCCTGACATATATCACATAAATGGGCATGAATAAATCTTGGTTGGGATTCCTCATGGCTATTAGATATGCAAAGCGGGAATCGACTAGAGGTTATTCGGTTGATGTGCTCATCTGGCAATATGCTCGGCGATATGTTCACCCTAAGGTTTTCGTTCTTGCATAAGGTCTGTATTATTATTATAATCAAAAAAAGCGCTAAACCCCAAGGGTTATACAGCTATAAGGTTTATTATAAAAATCAAGGGGAAGCGCTAAACCCGTAGGATCATACAGCGCCTGTGAGGGATGGAAGGTATTCAGGGTTAATTCAGGGAACTGGAGCACAGATCCAGTTCCCTAGAACAAGAGCCCCTCACCAGCATCAAGGAACCTTCCTTGAGGGGTACAAGGTCTGTAGCCTGTCCCCCCCCCCCCAGAGTTTACATTCAGATTCGTATCTTCTGACCCTTTTCCCAATTATCATACTCTTACATTACTCGGACTGAATTCAAGTAACTGGTTATCTAACCAATCTTGCATTATTATTATTATTATTATTAATGGGAAGCGCTAAACCCGGAGGATTATACAGCGCCTGGGGGGGGGATGTAGAAGGCATTCAGGCTTAATTCGGGGAACTGGAGCACAGATCCAATTCCCTAAATCAAGAGCCCCTCACCAACATCATTATTATTATCAAAAAGAAGCGCTAAGCCACAAGGACTATACAGCTTCACCAACATCAAGGAACCTTCCTTGAGGGGAACCAATCTTGCAGCTTGAGAAAGACCTTCCTAGTATGGGCCAGTAGGCTTCCTGCATTGTTCATCGATTCTTACGTTTTTATGTTGTTCAGATTTATTTACATCTCTTCCTTGTCCTCATCAGTTTTTATTCTCTAATATTAGTACTGTATCAATTCAAATATCTCCTTGCAGTCCAAGCATATGCAATCAACCCGTCCCTCTCCCCGTATCCTGTATCACTTCTACTTTGTCGCAGAACTTCATATCTTAACCTATGCTAGTTTTTATGCTGAAAACCACCACCCTGCAAGTGTTCTACCAGCCTCCTAATTATCTTCTCCATTACCTTGCATAGTGTGCATATAAATGGTACTAGTCCGTTGTTCAGAGTTCCTTGTCTAATCTCTTAGATACTGGACTACATTTGGTGCCTTCCAGATTTCTGGAAACTACCCCATATACATTGACATGATGTAGATCTTAGCTAGTGGTTCATTCAGTGCTGCTGCTCCCACTCGCAGAATCAATGGTGACAGTTTGTCAAGCCCCATTGCCTTTGATGTCTCAGCTCCATATTTTTTTTTTTTTTTTTTTTTAACCTCTTCTTTTGTGGGGCAAGAGTCCAAATGCCTGCTGGTGTCTCCTTTTTTGACTACTCACTAGTGTTGTCACTGTTTCCAGATGTTTGTTCAAGACCTCACTGACTTTAGTTTCTCGTGAGCTCTCCTTCATTATCGAGTAGTACTGTATTATATTGTACTCCCCTATTTGTGGTTGCAGGGATCGAGCCACAGCTCCTAGCCCGCCTCTTCGCTGGTCGCTACTAGGTCCACTCTCCCTGCTCCATGAGTTTCATCGTATCTCTTCTAAAAGCTATGTATGACTCCTGCCTACACTACATCACTCACCAGATTGTTCCACTTCCTGACAGCTCTGTGACTGACCCTGTTAATAACGTTTACCAAAAAAATCTTTCATTCATTTTAAACAGTTTTAATCCATTTTTTTTTTTTTTTTTTTTTTTTTTTTTGTAATTTCCAAACTCGTTACTACTTCTGGACGCTATAAAAAGTTCTGGTAGGCTGTTAAATGCTCCTGCCCATCCCGTTTCATGTATAACACAACACTTAAACACACATCAATACAAGTCTAAGGTTCAACACGTTTAACTATAACTTGTATCATCTCAACACGTGTTGATAAATTTATAGAATTTTAGTAATCTGAGGCTAAATTGTTAATTATTTAACAAATATTGTCATAATAGTTTTTCGAGTCTTTTATTAATTACAATATTTCAACACCTGCCTTCAGTGTCACACTAATAAGTGTTACCTACACTTGTTAATGTTGCCTGTCACCACCACTTGTTAGTGTTGCTTGTCACCACCACTTAGTGTGAGCTGTCACCACCACTTGTTAGTGTTGCCTGTCACCTATACTTGTTAAAAGGTGTTGCCTGTCACCACCGCTTGTTAGTGTTGCCTGTCACCTACACTTGTTAACGAGGGTTGCCTGTCACCTACACTTGTTAACGGGTGTTGCCTGTCACTTACACTTGTTAACGGGTGTTGCCTGTCAATATTGGGAAAAAATGGGAAACATTTTGCCATTTTCTTCATATTCGCCAGTTAACCTTTTCTTTCTTTAGCTGGAATCACAAAAATATTCCTGACGGGATTATTTAATTTTCTGCTTATCATTTCATTAATCTGTGATCATTTTCATGTGTTCGATTTCATAGAGAAGAGTTTGATTTATAAGAATGTTGTCATTATATATATATATATGATTAACAAGAAAAAATTAATTTCTTGGATGATACTGAAACCTATTCTAAAGTTAGAAAGAATCCCTTAGAAACTGTTAACAGCAATTTCAATAAAACAATAAAACTTCTACTGAAAGGCAAAGATTGATTAATTAAACAATTTACTTCCACTAATCCATCTTTACCTTACATGTATGGACTAATAAACACACAAACCAGGGAATCCAGTCAGACCAATTATTAGCTCCATAGGGTCAGTTTCATATAAATTATCCAAATGGCTTTTGGCATTTTGAGCCCTATTGTTGGCAAAATTTCTAACTTTAATGTTAAAAACAACATAGATTTAGTTGATAAGCTCCTTGACTGACTTAAATGATTTTAACATGGTTAGTTTTGATGTTACTTCCTTGTTTACGAAAGTTCCTGTTAATGGTTTATTAAGTTAATTATGATTTACAATTGCCAGTTCCTACTACATTAAACTTATTAAACTTTGCATTGTTCATGCAAAATTTGTATTTAATGATAAGTTGTACACTCAGAAGTTTGGTATGGCAATGGGAAATCCTCTTTCACCTGTTCTTAGTAACCTATACATGGATTTTTTTGAACAAGGCTGCTTAACACAATCCTCCCTAATAGAACTAAATGGTTCAGACATGATGATATTTGTGCCTTATGCCCAAGAATGTAGATATACACCATTTCCTTGTTAAATTAAATAGCCCATTCTATAATCTTTACTGTTGTTTGAGGAAAATAACTCATTGCCTTTTCTAGATGTTTTAATTGTTAAGGATAATTAATAATGAATTAAAATTAAAAATTTACAGAAAACCTACAAATAACTGTTCCTATGTACACTATTATTCTTCACATCAAGATAGTTAAACTGTATGTTTTCTCATCAACGTTTATGAGAGCTTTGCGTATTTGTAGTCCCGAGTTCATAGATGAAGAAATATCCAAAATTTATAAAATAGCTGATCTGAAATACCCAAGAAACGTAATTGATA